TACACTGGATGACCTATATCGATAATCCGGGACCACGAATTCAAAGATGGAGAATTCGTCTTCAGAATTATCAATATAAGTTTGAATATAAGCCCGGAAAAATCAATAGGATTGTTGAAGCGTTATCAACAAATCCCGTTGACGAAGAAAGCGGGTCGAATTCAGATTCCAGTTGGTTAGAATCATTCTCCTCGGATCTCGAAAAGCCCAAATCTCGGAAAAGGGCAATCACTCGTAAAACGGAATCCAGTGATGTCGAACCAAGCGAAAAGGTGAAGACATGTCGGGCATTACCTATAACGCGTTCCTCAACCAGCGAAGCGAAAGAAAGTGCGCGACTGAACCCAAAGGATAAAGAAAGAAAGTTCGAAGGAACTGAAAAAGCCAGCGCGTCAACAACCCGACAGCGACAGCGATTAGGTAGTTTACAAGAAAAGCTCAAACCAAAACAAACCAAAAGGGGTAAGGGAACCAAGAAAAACAATCTTAAAACGTCCAAAGGATCCGGAACCAAGTACCAGCTCGGGACAACCAAGCAGTTCAAAGGGTCCTCCTATTAAACTTAAGTCAAATCCCACTAAGACGGCTGCCAAGGAACCTCCTCGTCGAGGGCGACCTGTTGGAAGTACCAAATCCGCAATGGCTGATAGTGACGAAACCTATCGACCGCCGCAGGATATCCCCGTTAGTGAAGCAGACGAAAGCTGCGTTGCCAACAGATTACGACCCCGAGGAACTACTGCTCCAAATGAGGATACAACTAAGGAACCGTCCTATTCATCATCAAGTGATGAAAGCGCAAAAGAAGAATCGGAGGAAGGAACAGATGAAGATTCGGATCCCCCGGTGTTCCAAGAAGACTATAGTGCTTTCCCTAATCTTCCTGTCCATACTACTCCACTTAATTCACCTAAGCTCAAAACCAACGCCCCTCAGAGTCAAGGCCCTGATCCGTACACGGACGTTTTCGTTGATGGAGCCTGCTGCGAAAATGGAGGATCCAGTCCAAAAGCAGGACGTCAAACGAATAACGCTTCCGAAATCGAAGCAGCCACTATGGCAGCTCGACAGACCAAAAAAGCGGGTATCAAAAGAACCAAGGAGGCAAAGCACGGTTAGATTCAAGGACATCCCAGAAGTCTTTGAGCATTCTATAGATGATCAAACGCTCGAGATGGAAACCGAACTATCTACTCCAGGGACATCAACTATCCCACGTGCACAATCCACCCCGTTCACGGGATTCAAGGATGAAAGGATCAACTCTAACCGGGAGATCACTGCAAGGAATCAGGGCATGAAACGTAGACGAATACAGGATACAGACAATGATGCAGCAAAGAAGTGCGTGCCTCTTAGCTCTTCGTTCCTAAACTTGAGGAATTTATATTTTGATCCTCCATCATCTTTCGGGACATCCAGTGAAAGTGATAGTGATTGTGATAGTGAACCCCAAGAAAAATAAATAAATAAATAAAAAATTTAAGAAAAGCCTTAGCATCTAACAATTAAAATTCTTGTCGAATGGCAAATTCCGGGGACCTGTTAGGTACACTCCCTCAAAATAAAATGTCGGAACTTGTCGCAGGAATTTTCCGCGGTGGCGACGCAACCATCACCTTGTGCCACGGAAAAATAGAAGTACCCCCTGTTGAATTACGCGGTAAAATCGTTTCCGAGTTTCATTCCAGTTTGATAGGTGGACTAACTTCTATTTTTAGGCAAGACCTACCGACGAATAAGGGAAAGATACTATTGGCCCCGGATGCGTGACGACGTTACCCAATTTATTCGAGGATGTAAAAGTTGTTTCGAAAACAAACTCGCTAGAGCCCGTACAAGAGAACCGATGATAATTACCGATACTCCGGCAATGCCTTTTGACAAGGTGTCTCTAGACATCGTCGGGAAATTGCGAACCACCCCAAACGGAAATCGGCACATCCTCACAATGCAGGATAATTTCTCTAAATACTGTATCGCGGTCCCCATTCCGAATATAGAAACAAAAACAATTGCCCATGCGGTAGCTACAAACTTATTCTCAGTGTTTGGAGCACCCCGTTGCATTCTAACGGATAGAGGAGCAAGTTTTGTTAGCACCTTGATGCGTAAGTTGGAAAAAATCTTTGGCGTTAAACAACTTACGACATCTGGTTACCGCCCACAAACTAACGGGGCACTTGAGAGAAGTCACATCGATCTGACGGATTATATTAAACATTACGCGAAGGATTTTGACGATTGGGATCGTTTGCTTCCGTTCGCGATGTTTAATTATAATACGTCCGTTCATGAGGCAACCAATTTTACCCCATACGAACTCGTGTTAGGACATTTGGCTAAAGCACCCAGTTTGTTACCTCAAGGACCCGAAGTTGAAACATATGGATCCTATCTGAAAGACTTAATTACACGGATGAACGAACTACAAAATTTAGCTGCTAAATATCTAGTTCGATCAAAAGAACGATCAAAAGAAATCTACGATCGTAAAGCACGACCTTTGAATGCCAAAAGAGGCGACAAGGTGTATGTTTTTAAAGAAGTCCGGTAAAATAAGTTTGATAAGCGAGCAGAAGGACCGTATACCCTTGTAGGATTTACACAAAATAACAATGTGATCCTTGAAACCAAAAACGGTGAAAGGTTCGCAAAACATAGGGATAAAGTCAGGATTGCCCAATTGTGAAGTTCTTGGTTTAATTCTAAACCCATATTAACTTGTTCTTTCTGATTTTAGATTGACAAACAAGCGATGATGACCAATTATCTAACCTTGACATGCCTCTTCCTAACCTTAGTGACGACAACGAAGCAGCTCCATTCCCGAGAAGCAGAGATGACCACTCCAAGTGATCGTTACCAGATCACTCCTTTCAAGTCCAGCAGCGGGATATATTTTGAATACATCGGAGAAGTCAGGAGGTCCGTCAGCAACTGGAGGATTGCCGTATTCCTGGACGTGGGCAAGCAGACTCGATTCTTCGACGATTTGAGGACCAGGCTGCAGCGACTAAAACAGCAGTGTAAACCTAATGAGGAATGGTGCAACGAATTAGTCGAATACTATGACTGGGAAGATAAAAGGGAAATGGCCTCAGAACTTCAAAAACAGTTTCGAGTCCAGATCGAAGAATCGGAAAATACTAAAAAGACCTTACCAACAAAGATGACCACCCAACTACGAGCAAGGCGTTCAGTCCCACTATTAGGATTCCTGGGAAAGATTGCAGGACCAATCGTCGGCGTTTTGACCTATGATGACGGAGAAAAATATAGTGCTGCCATCCAAGATCTCAACGAAGCCCAGGTCAACTTGTCACACCTGGTGGGAAAACAAACCCACGTAGTGAGATCACAACTCGATTCGCTGCACTCCCAGCTACAACAACATGGATCCTTGCTGAAGGAACTGCAGGAACAACTCCAAGTCCTGATTGCCGTAGGGAGTACTAAGTCGAAGGCCGAAATGGAGAGAAGAAATCTAACATATGCCATCGCCAAGGCATTAAGATTGGGCCTCGATCACAACATGCAGACCACCACCACTATGTTAGAAGCAGTTCATGAAGCCAGGAAAGGATATCTACACCCCGGCCTCATAACATCCGAACAACTGGAACCAATCCTGCGGGAAGTGCAGGATAACCTCAAGGATGTCCAGTTTCCGTTGACTGGACCTAGAATCAGCATCGTCGAATTGATGCGTATCTCCATCATCACCATCTTGTGTGAAAACCATGAACTTAAGGTCCTCATCGACATACCGCTCCTAGAAAAGTACAACTATCAGGCTTTTAAAATCCATTCTCTTCCAACTGTTCAAGAAATATTTGAGAATAGTACTGGAAGAGCCTATTTAAAATCTAAATACGACTACCTTATTATAGACGAAGATCAGAGAACATATCTGATATTAAAAGAACAGGAATGGAATTCGTGCAAGTCAACGACATCATTCCACGCCTGTCTCCAAGGTGCTCCAATATATGATCTCCGAGAACGAACATCTTGCGAAGCTCTGCTCCTAGTTAGACCCGAAGCAGAAGCGTTTAAATTTTGTGATATTCGAGTTACCAGTGAAGCAGATTCTTATTTGAAACCCTTGACCACTATTGGAGGTTGGATGTTTTCTTTCGCTGCACCAGAAACTGCGACGATTGCTTGCCACTCCATGAAACCGATCAAACTCATGCTGAGTGGAGTCGGAATCCTCAAATTGGGTCCTGGATGCTCCATAAAAACTAACGATGCTATAATATCAGCCACCACCACACAAGCTGGACAAACAGAGTTTATATTCGAATCGGATCTGCAGTTGAATTTATCTAAACTTTCCCCAGCATTGCTGAAATACAACCATTTGATAAAAAAGGCGGGAATTTTTATAAAATCCGACGTTGAATTTGATTCAAAACTAGCCACCTTCGAATTGAACTCCAAAACATTAGACGAACTTGAACAACAGCTACAAGAACTTGCCTTACAACAGCACCATAGGGGAAGACATTCAACATTGATCTACGGCTCCTATGGCGGCATCCTTCTGCTATGCATACTGTTCAATATATACTTGTGCCGATCACAGCTTAAAACTGGAACATATAAGCTGTAACAAACAATTTTCTCAAAGTCGAGAGATGAGAACATCCAACGTCACAACGAAGGAAGCCGTTGATTAAAACTCCAATACCCAAGGATGTTGCTGGATTATACGAGGATATCCCTTCTACAAGTAGAACCGCTGTCAACAAGGAGGTGACCGTACAAAAAAAACAACCTCAACTGAACCAGCAACTACCCAAGGAAAGGAGATAAAGTTTGCAACGTCCAAAGATAGACCATCAGTGAAGATCAGATGACTAACCGAAGGGTTAGGTTCCAAGCTGCGTGGAATCCAGGTAGAGGAGACTTCATTGGGAAAGAATCGCCAACCACCTTCTCGCCAGTAGTTCCGCCAAACATAACCTTGCAAGACAACAATGAAGATCTTCGACTTAATATAATATAATATAATATAATTGATTAGTCACCCTCTGTGGAAGATGGTGAATAATGTCCGCCTAAAAAAAAAGAGAGAGAAACAGAATTAAAAAGATATGAATATATAATTAATACTTATATACCTTATTAAAATACTAGAAACAGTAGGTACTTAAAACTTACTCGATAGGGTCCAATAGCGTTGATACGGTCCACTTCCCTTTGGAATACCTCAGTGTGATTCAGGCTATCGAAATCCTTCCTCTCCCGGAATAGCTTCACGTGTATCATCTCGTGCAGCATGGTCCCGATCAGATCTTCTTCAGGAAGCAACTTGTGTATTTTCCAGTTTATGCGCACCTCGCGCCTAGGCAAATCCGTGCACCCCGAAGCGGATGGCATTTTCGGCCCCCAGTGAAACGTGTAGCCCGCATTTGCGAGCTCATTATTAAAATAGATCTCGTCCAAATGGTCATACAGTCCTTTTAGATCAGGACGCCCGTCCGTAGCCCGTTTGCGCTGAAATAATTTCAACCCTGTCTCCAAGGGTTGTTTCTGCGATCTAGTTACTCTACCGCTCATGTTGAAAATACACCTAAACGCAAACAAAATGTTTATTAAAACAAAAAGAAAAAAAAGAGGTTTTTTTGTGACTTTAGAAAGTTAGTTGAGTAAACAAAATTCAGTAAAAAAGAGAAAAGCAGAATTTCGCAAACAGGGTGTCAAGAATGTCGTTTCCGGAGCGCCCCAAATTTAGAGTCATTTTTGAGGCATTTCCGTTAAAGATAGACGACAAACAAGAGTAAGGAAAAATGTTGGAACTATGATTCCAAGGAATAATATAGTACTCGCTAGATAAAAATCGGTTTATTTATGTGGTATTTACGACAAAATTTCTCTATCCTGTCATTTCCGAGCGCGCGAAGTACTTGCCAGCGGCCACCGCCGAGCATGGCAGTCACCGCCGACTACGTGAGAACCCCGTCGGACAAAAACTGTAGACCGTATGAACTAAATCAAACTTAGCTTCTAATTAAATTTTATAATTGGTATTTTATTTTTTTTTTAAATTTTTTCTTTCAAATAAATGCAAAATTAACAATTTTAAAATTATTCTTAACTTGAAATAAACTCATGTCTAACATTTAATTAAAATACATTAAAGAATGAATACAAAAACATTAGTTTTGAGACATACGTTCAATAATTTTGCGAGAGTATGACACTTATGCAAAAAAAAATATATATATTTTAATTGCATTTAAAAATCAAAATTTCTTACTTCATAATTTATTAAAATTTAAATAAATGTGTCTTGGGTTAAAATTCCTGATGTACAAATTTTGCTGTTCATGAAAGTGATTGAATGTATTGCGAATAAAATTAATGAAATGCAGGGTGATCATAAGTTTCAGTTTATGAATTTCCCTGACAATTTATTGACATTGAATTGAATTTCTCTTACGAAATTCTTTTACAAGAAAATATGAATATTTACGGAAAATGAGTAAAATTTATGAATTTTAAATTAAAAAAAAATTACTATTATTACCTTTTTTTTAAATTCATATACTTTCTACAAATTTTTAGCTTAACTTATCTCTGAATCAATTAATTTAAATAATTTTCCAAAGGTCCAAAAAGTAAGTTTTCACAAATGTTTATTTACATTATTTGAAGATAATTAAATCTAATAATTAGTTTTAAAAATATTATAATGTTATTTTTCGAAGGTAATTGAATTTCTTAAAATGATTCTTATATCCTAATTTTAAAAAAAAACTAATTAATTTTTGATGAATTTTCATTGAGAATTTTGAACATGATTGTTTTCTCCAAAATGTTAGAAATAATTCTAAAATGTTATCATTTTTGTATGTATTTTTTTTTGGAAATATGTAATTGAAAATATTGAATTTTAAACATTAGAAGCTAATTTTTATAAGTTTTCATTTTTAAATTTACCGTTAAAAAATTTTTTTTTGTGATAAATTTTAATAAATAATAAATTAATTATTTTCAATTAAATTTTGCAAAATTTCAACTATTCAAAAAGGTTACTATTGTAGACATATTTAAAAAATTTAATTATGTTAAAAATTAGGTATTTAAAGCAATCTAAGTATACTTATTTTTAATTATCTATAACTTAATCTATTGAATTTAGGAAAATTACATCAAGAGGACAAGTCTTTATTCTTTCGTCTACTTTTAAATAATGTTTAGAAAACTAAATTTTTATTAATGTTTATTAAAAAATTATTTTATACCTAAAAAAGTTGATTTTTAAAATTTAGGCATGATTATTTCTAATTTTATTATTGAAATACACAACTCAAAATAATAATAATACGCCGCAAAAGGGCCCAACTAATAAAAAAATAAAATGCCTTCAAATTGTTTAAAATAAACAGTCTAGTAGAACATTTCCGCGCGCTTGCGCGCGGATAGTTTGGCTAATACTATATAATAATCGTAAGTTTCCGTTAGCGAATTCTCTGCATTCATTTGTTTATTTTGAAAATTTTTGTGGGTTATCATTTTTTTTGTCAAACTTGTTAACGGTTACGTATACTTATCGATATAAAATTTACGAGACGCATGCATTGCAATTTTATTGTTTATAAAAATAATGTCATTCTTGCGAGGAATTTCATAAAAATATTTTAAATAATTGAATTCTGTTAGAAAATTTTGTGAAAATAATAGATATTGAAAATCATTGAATTGTGAAATGTTTTTAAAAATAATTAAATTTTACAAAGAATTCAATTGAAATTTTTGACAATAATTGAATTCTAGTGAACAATTTTATTGGAGTTTTTTTTAAATAATTGAATTCTTGTGATGATACCTGAGAGTGAGGGAGAAAAAGATATTGTGGTGGTCTTGGACAGTGAGGAAGAACAAGTGAAAGGGGGTGAGCAAGAGGAGGAGGAGCGTGAAGGAGAGACTGTGCATGAGAGTGAGGGAGAACAAAATATAGTGGTTGATGATAAGAGTGAGAAAGAACAAGATCTTGTGGTGGTGAACAGTGAGGAAGAACAAGTGGAAAAGGAGCGTGAGGAAGAGACTGTGCATGAGAGTGAGGGAGAGGAGATTATGAATGAGAGTGAGGGAGAGCGAGATATGGAACTTGAAAGTGAGGGAGAGATGGATAATGAACTTGAGAGTGGGGGAAAGCGAGATATGCAAGATGAGCGTAAGAGAGAGGGAGAGCGAAATATGCAAGAAGTAGATGAAAGCGAGAAAGAGCGTGAGAGCGAGGGAGAGCGTGAAATACAAGATGTGCATGAGGGAGAGCGTGATATGCAAGATGTGCATGAGGGAGAGCGCGATATGCAAGATGTGCATGAGAGCGAGGGAGAGCGAGAAATGGGTCATGAGAGCGAGGGAGAGCGAGAAGTGGGTTATGAGAGTGAGAGAGAGGGAGAGCGTGATATGGGTTATGAGAGTGAGAGAGAGGGAGAGCGTGATATGGGTTATGAGAGTGAGAGAGAAGTAGAGATGGGGGATGAACGTGAGAATGAGTAAAAAATGAAATGAAAATGTTATACATAAATATTGTTCTCTTACTTTTAATAACATTTTTTCTAATATGTATTTTCTTTCATATAACGTTTTCACTTATTTTTTCTTATATATATATATATATGTATTTTCTTATATGTATTTTTTCTTTCATATGAATTGTGTATGTATCTTCAATGTGTTATGCATTTTATGTGAAAGTTGCTTTAAATGAAGAAAAATTAATAAAAAATATTCTTTTGAAAATTATTGTGTTGATTTATTTAAATATTTTCTAAAAAATAAATTTCTAATTATTTTTTCCTTTTATGTAAAATTTTCAGATTTTAAAAGTATATATTCGTAAAGTGTGGATAGATGCCACTTTTCTCAAATCTCCAAAAAAATGGATATATTTATGTATTATTGGTTCTTTTATATCTATTAACCATAAAAAAAAATTTTTTTGCTATAAAGTGCCAGCTGATAATGATGATCATGATGATGATGATGATGGAAGAATATGATAATGAGGGAGACCGAGATTCAGTTGTAAACATAAAGTTATAATATATTTCTTAGTGACTTTTAATTTATAAAATCATTAGTAAGCAATTCTTTTTATTAACATTTATTTAAAGTACCACCTTATGAACAATTGTCATTGTAAAGCAATTTTTAAATAATTATTCTCTCATTTATATTAAAACTAAACTTTATTTACAGTGAATTAAAAAAATAATTTCTTAAATTTTATGATGGTAAACATTTTTTTAAAAAAATAATAGAATTTATGAAAGAAATTAAGTTTGAAAGATAACCTTTAGAATATTTCAATACATGTCGCTTCAGTTTTTCTTGAAACTTATGTAAAATGAAGCTTAAAAAATTCTAGTTTTATTCTCAGTAAACATTATAATAAGCAATTCGGTTTGAAATTTAGGAAATTAATTTAAATTTTACAAATATATCAGAGGGTAAAAAATTTGAAAAAATAAATTCCGCTTGGTACATACATTCAACCTCCGAAAATTCTTTTAAAATTTAATTAATATCTCAAATTTCCATGAATTGCCCATTATAATGTTTACAGGGAATAATAATAGCAGTAAATCCTGTTATTTAAAAACAAATTTTTATCATCATAAAACTGAGAAATTTTTCTTCTAAAATCACTAACAGTAAATAAATTTTTGGCTTTAATAAATAAGAGAAATAATTATTTTAAAAGTGGTTTTTTAAAGTGGTTTGTTTTGAAATAATATGACCTATATATTTGTAAATCCTTTTTTATTCGATTATCGGAAGAGTGATAAATGAAACAATGTTACATTAGTTGTGCAACGTTTCGGTGTCTTTGTTGACGTTGCACAACTAATGTAACATTGTTTCATGTATCACTCTTCCGATAATCGAATAAAAAAGGATTTACAAACTTCAACAACGGAAGAAAAAAATCATCTATATATTGACCTATATATTTATTTTTTGTTATACTTGAGTGTAGCGGTGGAGCTTGAGAATGCAGGAAAGCAAAAGACTGTGCTTGAGAGTGAGGGAGAGAAAACAATGGTGAATGAGAGTAAGGGAGAGCCAGAGATAGTGCATGAGGGTATGGAAGGTGTACAGAAGAGTGAGAGAGATATGCAAGATCGGTGTGAGAGTGAGGGAGAGCGAGATATTTTCTAAAAAAATTTATTTTATTTGCTTAAAAAAATTAAGTTTTGTCTTTAATAATTTATTTAATTATGAACAACTTTCTTAATTTCTAATTGTTTTTAGATTAAATGAAATTTTTAAATTTTCAAAGTTTATATATATTTCAAAACTTGTGGATCATGTGTAGCTGGCGAGAACAAACCTATTAAGTAGAAGAAGAAGAAGAAGAAGAAGAAGAAGAAGAAGAAGAAGAAGAAGAAGAAGAAGAAGAAGAAGAATAACAATAAATAATTGTAAAATTTTTTTTTAAATATATCAATAATAATAATAGATTTTTTCTTTTATTTACAGAATTGATTTTATTATTATGAAATGAGAAATTGTCTTACGACTTTGCTAACCCTATTTTACAG